TCCCACCATACCAATGCCCAATCTGCCTGATTTTTTTCCCCTCGCCAAGGTCCATCGTACTGTGGAATGTCATTGTCACAGTTTGTCTCAGGCCCCCGCCTTTATTGGTGTCCGCATGGCTAACCGCGCGTCGTCTGAGGATTGCTCCGGTAAATCGCGCGCCAACTTGGGATGCTTCCTGTGCTGTCCCGCGCCGCCGGCACCGCCTCCGCGGCGGTTCGGCGTCGGCCGCCGGGGCGGCGCCGGTCAGACTGTGCGGGCCTCGACCGCGATAGGGCCGCTGGCCGCCCGAGCGCCGTGGCGTGGACCGGGCGGGACGAGGAGCGGCGGCGCCGCCGCCGGCCGGGCGCCGGGCCGGTCGAGTGTCTGTCGCGGCCGGGGCCGGGCCCGGGGCGCGGCAGACGTCTCGAGGACTCGCGTCCGGCCGTCGCGGCTCGCTGTCGTCCGGCCGCCGTATCAGTGGTGCTGATGTCGCGCCAGCCGCGATATCGGGAGGATTGTACCGCCGCCCCCTTCCTTCGGGATCGGTGGGAGGGGAGGGGGTCCGGGGAAGCCAGGGACTATATTGGGTGGTCCCAGTAGGTCATCGGTGGGGATGGATGTGTCGTGAGATGCGGAGTAATTACGTCGCACAAAAATAGCTTTATCTCCATGCCACCGCCATGGACGGTAACAGGTATGGACGTAATAAACGGATGGGCGGAACGTGTGCCTAACGGTAATGTTCCTGGGAGGTAATAGTGTTGACAATTGGCAAGCGTGTGCATTAGAGTAGCGGCCAGAAGCGGGCACGAATGTTGCTGGTATAGTTGTTAAGATTAAAGCCCTTTCGACCAGAAATGATCGCTTCAGGGTTATGAGATGAAGGAAAATGGATAACGGTGGGGCAGGGCTGCATGCGCATGGGGGCCAACCGCCGAGTTTCAGCCGGCGCAAGGACCCCTCTGCCGGCAATGCGCTGGGCGCCCGGTCGCGGTCCCCCGTCCAGGGGCCTCTCGGTCCACTCGTGGCTGTCGCATGCAGCCTGCTCCGGACAAGCGAGGCGTCGCGAGGAGGCGAGATGAAGCAAGATGAGGATAAGAGGGTGTGATGACGAATGCTGCTCCGTGCAGGGGTTCGTAACTGGGCTGCCAGCGCCGCCTGTTCCGTTGATGCAGAGGGCGCTGCGGTCCGGCCAGGGAGCGTTGCGTCCTCTGGCGGGACCAGTGTTCGTGTGGTGTGATCCTGGAGCGGGCGGACGCGCTACGGCGCTGTGTCGAGCCGACTTCCGCACCCGCTCGTCCTGGTCTCGGCGACAGCGGCGGGGGTCACCGCTGCTGGCCGCGCGCGCTGCCTGCGGACGCGCCGCCATCTGTCGGTGGACTTGGTAACCGCAGCCTGTCTCCCGCCCGCCAGCTGGAGCGGATGGGCTTCGACCTGCGCGCTGCCTGGCGCATCAGCACGGCCAACCAGGAATACAAGCTGTGCCCGTCGTACCCGCGCTACCTCCTGGTGCCGTTGTCGATCAGCGACGACATGCTGGAGAAGGTGGCCAGGTTCCGGGCGCTGCGGCGCGTCCCGGCCGTATGCTGGAGGTCAGTGACCCAGCCGGGCGAGCGACGCTCACGCGGCGCACTGTCGGAGGCCGACCGTGTAGTGAGGTGTCGTACATCAGGCCGGTGTCTGGAGGTTCGTGTCGCAGCGTAATCATCTGCGTGAGATATTACAATACTGGGACACGAAGTCACAAGTCATGCACTTGGCATTGCTTCAAAGTGTAAATGACCCATTCTGGACCGTGTGTAGCGATCTGTGATCGACTTTCTGTGACGCGGGGGCGCTCCGCCGCCGCGTGCGTGTGACCCGGCGCGCCGCGGCCGCCAGACACGGCCGGACGGGCGCCGTGCTGGCGCGCTCCGGCCAGCCAGAGGTGGGCTGGCTGGGCTGGCGCTCCGCCGAGGACGAGGAGCTGGTCAAGGCGCTCAGTGAGGCGTGCGCCGCCAACCGGCTGGCGGCCGAGGCGGCGCACCCGGCCGCCGCGCACGCCAACGGCGACGTGCCCAGCTTGCGCGACCTTTCCGAGGAGGCGCTACTCTTCAAGAACACCGAGGTCAGTGCGATGGCCGGGCGCGGCGTTCAGCCAACCCGAGGCACGGGAGTTGCGTAGCGGACGAGGTGCGGTTTCATGTGTGTGGGTGTGGGTGTGGGTGTGGGGTGGGTGTGGGTGTTCATTGGTTCGAGGCTTATGGTGTCTTTGTGAGGTTTGGATTCGAGCGGGCCGTAATGAATATGGGTGCGTCAACCAGTTACGCAGAACTCGGCACTGCGCTCAAGGGACGATGACGGGCCTTGGAAGGTGAGCGGATCTGTACTTTGACGATGACCGGAGTGCATCAGTCATCGCATCATTTCGGACTAAAAGACAGGTATGACCAGAGGCCCGCACCACAGCCAGATGGGAGATTGTTTAACAGTGCGCTTACTTGACCAACCCTCTCCGATCTGCCCGCCTCAAGGCGCCGATGTCACAGCGCTCGCCTCGTTCTCCTCCCTGCAGAAGGTGGTGATCGTGGACGCGCGCAGCTACGCGGCCGCCGTGGCGAACCGGGCGCGCGGCGGCGGCGTCGAATGCCACGAGTACTACCCCAACAGCGAGGTGGTCTTCATGAACCTGCCCAACATCCACGCCGTGCGCAAGTCGTACCAGGCGCTGCGTGCGCTCCTCTCGGCGCCCACCGACCATTCCAAGTACGTGCCACGGCGCTGGGGTCCGACGTGGTGACTGGGAGCAGCTGATCGGAGCAGACGGCCGACTGGGCGGGCGAGGTTGCGAGGGGTATGGCGGCGGGGGGGAGGGGGGGGGGGGCGTGTGCCGTGATGTCACAGATGGCCTTCAGATGTGATTGTGTCCTTGCGCACGAAGCATGTGCGTGTGCGAAATGGTTCTCGGTTTCCTGTCAGGGCATCGATAGCCGTCCAGGGGCTGCGCAGTGTGGGGGCGAGTGAGGTTCGTGTCTCGCTGCGCGTGTCTGTGCTGAGCTCTCTCTATGTCCCCCGTCAGCTGGTTCCAGTCGCTGGAGGCCACCCGTGGCTGTCTGTGCTCTGACCTCTCTCTGTGTCCCCCCTCAGCTGGTTCCAGTCGCTGTAGGCCACCGGGTGGCTGTCTGTGCTCTGACCTCTCTGTGTCTCCCGTCAGCTGGTTCCAGTCGCTGGAGGCCACCCGGTGGCTGTCGCACATGTCCGCGCTGCTGCGAGCCGCCGTCAGCGTAGTGCGTCACATGGACGAGCAGGGCCGGCCGGTGCTGGTCCACTGCAGCGACGGCTGGGACCGCACGCCCCAGATCACCGGACTCGCCCAGATCATGATGGATCCGCACTGCCGCACCATCGACGTACGTGTGTGCTGCGGGCGGGCGCGGCCTGTTCCAGGCGCCGCTGACCTGAGGGGTTAGAGGCGCTTGCGGTTTGCTGGGTAGAGTCGGGACACACTTTGAGGGCTGTGGTTTGACGTAATCGCTTGCAATGCCTTGTCCATAGATATGGTGCCTTGGTAGCGTATGATGTATTGCTGGCTCTTTGCACAGGCACCCGTTGCACCCTCTGCACCCGTTGGGTCTTTGTGCTCCCTGCAAGTTGATATCACAGTCCGAATGTAGCACGTTGCCGAACTACACAGCGGCGGTCACGTTAAATACGGCCAGCGCCTGCCAGCGTGTCGGCATTGTCCCTGCCGTATTGATGCGGCGGGCCCGGCGGCTGGCGCTGAGCAGTGCAGCGGGCGTCCCGCGCCCGTGTCCGACTGACGCCCGCGTGCCGGCCGCGCAGGGCTTCCAGGCGCTGCTGGAGCGCGAGTGGCTCGACTTTGGCCACAAGTTCGCCGACCGCTGCGGCTCGGGCGTCTGCACGGAGGACCTGAACGAGCGCTGCCCCGTCTTCCTGCAGTGGCTCGACTGCGTGTACCAGCTGACGCAGCAGTTCCCCTGCGACTTCCAGTTCAACATGGCCTACCTGGTGAGACGGGGCGGGCCGCCGGCGCCAGTGACGCGGGACGGTGCGCCGCCCGGTCTTCGGAGCGGGAGGCGTCGCGTGCCGTTGTGGGAGGCGGGCGTGGGGGTGGCCGTCGCGCCGGTGTGGCAGCGTCCGCTCGTGACCCTCCGTGCTGACGGTGACGACCCGAAGCGTGACGCCCGCCCGGCCCTGTCCCGACAGGTGAAGCTCGTCCACCACACCTACTCCAACCTGTTCGGCACGTTCCTGTGCAACTCTCCGCGGGACCGGGACGCGGCTGAGCTAGCGAGCAGCACGTACTCCGTGTTCGCCTACCTCCGCACCAACCGCGACCGCTTCACCAACTACCTGTACATTAACCGCGGCAAGGTGAGCCTCGAGAGAGCCGGCCGCAGCGACTGAGCTGTGGAATACAGTAATCCATACACAGCAATGCATACAAACTACCATGTCATGCGCATTGTGTCTGTACCAGTAACTATGTTGTGGGTGTCATCGCTCTACCTGTCATCCTTTCATCCGTTGTGTGCGACAATCGTTACTGAACTCTTGCTTTGGTTCTCGCCATTTGCCTTTCTCCTATGGGCCTGTTTCGCATTGTGCGGTCAGAAGAGCATCGCATCCCGCTGGTCGGTACTCCGACACAGGGCGTGTGCTCCGCCTGGCGCCGGACTCTTGCTGCGGGCGCCTGACCAGCGCGGACCCGCGCCCCTGGCAGGTGCTGACGCCGTCCGTGCACCCGCGCGACCTAAGCCTGTGGTCGGCCGTGTACCTGGGCTCGCTGCCGCCCTGCTCGGACGACGTGCTGGTCCGCCTGCCGCCGCCCGAAGAGCCGGCCGACACGGCCGGCAAGCAGCTGGTGCGCACGCGCAGCTGCGAGGACCTCACCGAGCGGAAGGAGCTGACGCGCACGGCCAGCGACCCCAGCCTGCTTGACACGTGAGTCACGGGCCCGGCTGGTGTGGGCTGGGGGGAGGAGGAGGGCATGGGAGTCACGTCCGCGACTGAGTGGGTACGGATGTGAGGTCCCCCGTGTATCGGGCGTCACTGAGGTGAGGGAGCCGACTCGGACCGCCAGGGACCTCGGTCTGCTGGGCACGTGGGTCACGTCCCTGACAGACGCGATGGACGGACGGGTCTGTCTGTGCAGCTGCTGGAGTCTAGCATCGATGGTCACCCCCTGTTCCTAAAGTCTGCCTTTTGGACGCGAAGATGGTGTAGGCTCATCTGCATTCAGTTCGTGTTGCATCTAGGTGTAATAACCTGAGACTTGTGTGTGTCATTTTTGTGGATAACGTGACTGTCATTGCGTTGTCTTTGTTTTTGCCTCTAATGTTTGCTTACTGATTATGGATCATGCGCGACCCTGTCTTCTCCGCCATCTGTATCCTATGTGTCCCGCGCTGAACGGCACGGGCTGTTTTATGCTCCCGGTCCTTTTCCAGCGTGTCGTCCAGCTGCAGCCCGGATCGATCGCTCTAGCCTGTGCCACCATCACTCCCCATCCCATCCTCCTACGACCTGCACGCACCACGGTGCTCTTCATCATTGCCGCACCCCGTTCATCGTTCACGTGGCTGACGCGCGGCCGGCCGGCCGGCGCGCCCCAGGTGCGGCAAGGAGGCGGAGGCGGAGGCGGCGTGTACCAACGGCGACGCGACCGGCGCCGAGGAGGCAGACGCGCCGCCGGCGTCTGCCGCGCCGCCGCCGCCGGCCGAGCGTGACGCCGACTCCGGTCTGCCGGACGCCTCGCCGGAGGGCAGCGAGGCGGCGGCTGGCTCGAGCGGCGCCGCCACCGGCTCGACGGACACGCTGGCGAGCCAGGAGCGCCGCGAGCGCAGCACCAGCACCACCGACATCAGCCACTCGGGCGTGCGCCAGCGCTGCCTCTGCCACCAGCTGCGCCGGCTGATGGGGCAGCCGGCGCGCGCCAGCCCCGGCCACAGCCGCACGCCCAGCTCGGGCTTCCCGGCCACGCCAAACGACGACAGGTGGGCGGCGGCGGCGCGCGCAGCGGTCCGGGGGTGGCTGCTGAGGATCTCGATGGCCCCCGGCGGCGCGTTGTAATGAACACATCACATGTTTTGTCACGTCTCTTTACCCGACCACACATCTTGCGACCCAATACGAGCATAGGAGGTGGTGAAGTCTTCGGTAGCATAATACCTGTGTTCACGGGCACGAGCGGCGTGCGTTGAGACGGCTGGCGGTGACGCGGCACGCGCCGGCAGGCTCTCGGAGCGGACGTCCGACTCCCCCTCCTGCCGCCGTCTGGAGCTGGACGGCCTGCCCCGGGTCAAGGACGACATGCACCAGCGGCTCTATCACATGCACATCGCGCACAAGGTGAGAGGCAGCCGCGCGGCGACGGGCGCCCTGGCGTCGGCTGACCGGGCTACACGCCGTCGCGGCCGGTGGTGGCCGTGGGACAGCCCCGGCGCGGAGATGTGTGGAGACGTGGCTGTGTCGCAGTGTTTTGTTGAGCGAACCTCCAAGGCAATCGTCCTGGCCGCGACTTCTCTCGGGGGACGGCGGCTGTCTGATTCGAAACTGGAAAGAGTTTCCTGGCTCATTGTAGCTACAGCGTTGCGGGACGTCCCAAGGGCTTATTGAATTTGTGAAACTGTTTCCGGCTTTTGTCCATGCTAAGTGTTGTTGGTCTTAAACTTGAGCCGTCCGCCATACACTGCTCACAGAAAACCGTTTATCAGGATACACGAGCGCGGTATGGGTAGGACAGCCGGCGCGTCCTCAAGCCCAAATATTCCTCTTCATCATACATGACGGGCAGGTGGTCAGAATGTTCAAACAGTGGACGTCTTGCGAGTCCATCTATATAAGGCCACAGGGTTCCAGCGTGCATACGGCTCGGGCCAAAAAGCTGCGGCCTAGCCATTTGTCCGTCGTGGAAGTTATCACTGATTCCACTTGTTACCGACTCAACACGGAGTGAGGACAGCCCTATTGTGTAGCCTGGGCCATGCTATTTCCGTACACTCATAACATAACAGACATAACTGCCCTGAATGAACTGGGAGCGACCCTGCACACGGTCCTCCACCGACACTGTGGGAATCTGCACGGCCGGGGCCGGCTCGTCCCATCTGCACGGGGATTGCGGCGCGATCCCGAGGACCTGCCACCGACCTGGAGGGCGCCACGAGTGAGCCCCCCCCCCCCATCCCGCCACCGTGCTGCCTGAGTGGCCTGGAGCCCGAGGGAGGGGGACACGTGTTGCAATCAAACGGGTCCGCGTGTGCCGGGCTCTGCTGGGATGGCCTGCGCCGGCAATAGTGGCGGCAGTAGTGGTGATGTGTGGTGCGCTGACGAGCCGGTGAGCCCGACCTCCGGCACCGAGCTGTCCGGCGTAGGCGGGCTTCGAATGGGGCCGGCGGGGGCCCGGCCTTCGGTCCGGCCACCGCAAGGCGAAATGGGCCTCGGCCAATGGTAATTGCGCCTGCTGAATTGTTTAAGTGGCGGGGCAGTTTGGAGCGTCTCGGAACGCGCGGCGCCGATGGATGGCGCACGCTGATTGGCGCCGGGTTACGGGAATTTAATCCGAGCTCCGGCGGCCACGCCCGCAGCCCGGAGGTTTACGGGGAAGTGCGGCCGGCCGGCCGTTTCGCTCGGTGACCGGGTGGGCCGGCCGCGGCCGGAGGCGGGCCGTCTGCATGCGGGATTGGACGGCCGCTGCCGTGACGGCCGGCCGGCGGCAGCGGCCGTGCCACGGCCGATAGCGCCGCCCGGCCCACCGCGCTACTCTCCGGGCGTCACGGGGGCGGCTCGGGCCTGTCGGCCGCGCGGCGGGGTTCGTTGTTCGGCCGCCGTAGTCGTCGCACGTGGTCGTTTTTGTGACCTTCGCGACCTCAGGTTGGTCGTTGCAATTTGGTTTCGTACTTATCATGCTTTTACAGAGGATGTTGTGTCATGCCGTGCACTGATCGTCACGGTTTAACTGACCGCTATTTTTCTCCAGCGCGTACAGAACGATTACTTGCCAGTTATATATGGTCTGGCCTGACTTCTGGGCCGTCGTTAGAGCTTGTTTTTAAAATATGATATAATTTCCAGTGTTAATATGGGTGTGCGCACTGCATGGAACTTTTGAGCGTTGAAAATTGGTCGCCACGATATCTTAATGAGCATGAAGCTGTTGGGAGCCGCGTTGTCGTGATCCCGTCTGGCCAGTTGGCTTATGGCTGGTGGAGAGCTGCGCTGTGAATGCCCGTGGCTGAAGCGGCTGTGGAAATGCCTGAGTACGGTTAAGCCGTCCCCTCCGGGCTCGAGGCTGTCCAGGTGGGATCCAGTCAATTATCTCCTGGCTCCAGTCAATTCGCTCAGTTTCTAAGCCAGGATCGAGTCACTCCGCCAGTTCGAGGTAGTGGCTGTGGGACCAGTGACCGCCCACCTAGCTGCCGCAGTCAGCTGAGCAGGAGCCGCTGTCCCAGCCGGTCCTGGCTGGGGCCGCGGCTCCAGCTGGTCCTGGCTGGGGCCGCGGCTCCAGCCGGTCCTGGCTGGGGCCGCGGCTCCAGTTGGTTCTGGCTGGGGCCGCGGCTCCAAGCCGGTCCTGGCTGGGGCCGCGGCTCCAACCGGCCCTGGCTGGGTTCAGCGCCGCGCTCGGCCACCTGCTGACGAAGTCACCGGCCGCGAAACCCCGGCCGTGCGGCGGCGGCGGCGGCGGCCCATTGGTCGGCACGGGCGACCGAGTAAGGGTGATGCATTGGCCGCGTGGCAGCCGGCTCCAGCCGGTCATGAATTAGCCAGCGCTGCCGAGAAGCGGCCACTTCCCGACGCACGCGGCAGGCACGTGGGATACCTTCAATTAGGCGTCGGCTCATAGGCTTGCGGCGAATTGAGACCCGGAAGCGGAGGGCGTCGGAGAGTTTCTGGGAATGTCTTCTCTGCCTAACTAGGAATGATGGGCGGTGTTCTGTATTACCACCGCGACTGTGGATTGTGGGCGGCACGTATCTAGACTTGTGCACGGATCCCAGACGTGGATTCGGGCCGTGGTTTTGCGTTCTTGGTCCCGGGTCTTTCGGATCCTGGGTTGTTGGTTTTCATGTTTTGGGCAGATCCCAGGATCCGGGGCTTTCTTATATTTTTATGGTTGATTGTCTGATAGCCGTGATCGTGAGCCTGAAGTCTGAGAAGGTATCTGGCTAGGCTCCACGATCCGCTGTCCAGTCTCCTGGGCAGATTTATTAGGCCCAGAATCCAGTTTCAGTTTTTTCTCGAAAAATTGATCACGGTTCCAGGGCACATTTTGACATCCATGCGTATGTCGGGCCCTGGCCGATCAGAACCAGGGCATAGTGTTCGGGCCGTCCAGCTCCGCCGCAACTGGTAACGATCAGCGTCTGTCCCAGGGCACGCCTGCCCCATATGGCGGGCGGCCGGCCGCTGTCGAGGGAGCGGCCACGGCTGCGGCGGTGACCGCTGGTCTCTGGCAACCTGGCGCCAACGGGCCATGACGGATGGCTGGAGGACGGCAACTGGGCGGGCCCATTAGGCGCGGCCGGACCGTGGCGGCCACGCCAGAGGTGGCTGCCCCCCCCCCCCCCCCCCTTCTGCTCTGGCTCTGGTGAGCGAGTTGTCGGACAACTGGGAGATACCAACAGCGCGCGGGAGGAGGACGCAGACGCGCTGGCCGAGCGGGGCGCGCCGGCCGGGGTCGCGACACTCTGGAGGGGGTCCAGAGATTGGGCGTCAGGGTCTGTGGGCGGGCCGGCCGGGGTCGCGACACTCTGGAGGGGTCCAGAGATCGGCGTCAGGTCTGTGGGCGGGCCGTGCTGTGCGGTTGTGAGACTCGCTGTAAGTGTATATGCGGGGCCGCGATCATTAGGTGGCTTTTTGCAGTACCGCCAGGGTTTTGTTGTAGCGAGCACGGTCGGCTACCTGAGGGGATATTGGTAATCAGGTAATGTTAAACGGAAGGATGAAAGACATTCAAATGCACCGGTAAGGTTTTCGGCCATCATCGTTTTGCTTGTTTTCATGAAACACAAGATTGGGGAGAGCTTGGATACTAATATGAATAACTTAATAGTTTCACTAAGTTCATTGGTTCTTTAAGCTAAGTACGTCCGCGGCCAAATCCATCGGCGTCACAGGGGTTAGAGCAATACGTTTGGAGAAGTAACCTATTGATTTCACCCGGGTCGTCATCTAAAAGTTGAGCGAGACGGGCCCATGAAATTGATTTCCCGGTGATCGGATCACTACCGCAGATTGGCTCCGTGTCTGCCGGTGGCGGCTGCCTGGCCGACTGCGTGGTGCAGCTCCGCTGGCCCCGCCCGCCGAGCTGCGGACCCGCGTCCACCTCGTGCAGAGGGAGCGGGGCGCCCGCTGAGCGCTCCTGGAGTGTCGTGCCGGCCTCTGCGGGCGTGTCGGCCGCCCTGGGAGCGCCGCCCAGTGTCGGCGTGGTCGTGCCGGCCTCCGCGGGCGTGCTGGCCGGCTGGGAGCGCCGCCCGGTGTCTGTGTGTCTTGCCGGCTTCCGCGGGGCGCGCCGGCCGACTGGGAGCGCCGCCCGGTGTCGGGATGTCGTGCCGACCTCCACGGGCGCGCCGGCCGACTGGGAGCGCCGCCCGGTGTCTGTGTGTCTTACCGGCTTCGGCGGGCGTTGCCGGCCGACTAGGAGCATCGCCTGGTGTCGGAGTGCCGTGCCGGCCGGCTGGGAACGTCGCCCGGTGTCGGGGCGTCTTGCCGGCTTCCGCGGGCGTGCCGGCCGACTGGGAACGGCCGCTCGGTGTCGGGGTGTCGTGCCGGCCTCCGCGGGCGCGCCGGCCGACTGGGAGCATCGCCCTGGTGTCGGAGTGCTGTGCCGGCCCGACTGGGAGCGCCGCCCGGTGTCGGGGTTGTCGTGCCGGCCTCCGCGGGGCGTGCTGGCCGACTGGGAGCGCCGCCCGGTGTCGGGAGCGTCGTGGCGACCATCTCGAGCGGCAGGGTGAGCAGCCCGTCACCGGCGACCGCTGGCCGATGACGCGCCGCGACCGGCTATTGAGCGGCGCCGGCGCCGGACGCTGCATAAATCAGCGACAGCTGGTCGGCCGCCGCCGCCCCTCCGCTCGGCATGCAGCGTCGGGCCGGGCCGGACGCGGCCGCCGAGCTGCCGGCTCCGTCCTGGGACCGGGCCGGGCATCCGGCGCGGGGGGGGGGGGGGGGCGTAGGCTGCGGCGGGGCCGGCGGCTAGGCCGGGAGGAATACTGGGAAGAGGCGGCGGGGCTGACCCATGCGGTTGGACGACGTGGAAAGTTATGGAAACCGCACAGCCGGTAGGGTTGAGTTTTGCTATGGTCAAGAAGGTTCGAATAAAAAAAAACTTGTCACGTCCCGACCACACCCATGCTGTTTTGCTAGCATTACCTGGCCTTTTATTTCGACGAGCCGCTGAGATGTTTGGGCGCGCCGGCAAGTCCAAAATAATGCGGTATATTACAGTACAATCCAGCCCTCAGCGGCATCATCCGTGGACGGTTCGGTACATGTCCGGGGCGACGATCACAACAGAGGGGCCGTCGAGATCTGGAGAGGTGTTTACCGCAGTCGATCTCTCCGCTACTCCTGCCGAGCCGTCGGTGCTGTGTATCCAAGGAGAAGTGCGAACCTCGTCCGTTATTGTCGGCCCGGCTTACGTCCTTATTCCCTGTTGTGCGATTTGCCAGCCCCCGAGGACGGAAATCGGATACTGGACGGCAATCAGCTGATTGTATCCGGGAGCGAGCCGGCGGCGCCGTCACCGGGGCGGGCCGATTCCGCGCAGCTGGTGCGGCATAGTAACGATGTCCGAGGCCCGGGGCGTCAATATCTGGGACTTCCCTGTGGTGCGGATCTACCCGCTCGTAACGGTCGGCGACATCTGGGTCATCATTGGGATTGTCATTTTTTAACAGTGGGCACGAACACATCGTAACCGATTAAGTTTTCTCCCGGGGCAAAGTCAAGTCGAGAACGGGGGTGGAAGGACGAAGGAAGTCAGGAGGAAGAAGATGCAGCTTGTGCCAAATTTAACATGTTATCTCACTGGGGCGCAACCATGTCACGCACATGGAGCCACGAGGTGCCTGCAGATATCAAGATGAGTTGATATGTATATATTTTTGTGGTAGTTTTTGCCATCGTCTGCATGAAGTGAACAGTAGCTGACAAAATGCGTTCTATCCTCCTGACTATAGTCACAAAAACGAGCATCGGGTCCTAACTTCTGTATTAGTGATCGATGGCAGTCTCATTCTGTGGCACCTACCCCCGGCGTTTTATGGAGAAGGTAATCACTTTATTACGGAATTGATAGTACTGGCTTGGACGCGGAATCCCTGGATGTTGGCTAAACTTCTTTTGTTTGAAACTTGGATTATTTGGAGTGGGTCTGATAACTTCTGAGAGCTTATTTCAGAGGCAGGACGTGGCAGGAATGGCTCAGCGCTGATAAAAAGCCATAGTTTTGCAGGCCCGTGACTATTCCGAATTTGAGGCGCGCGCCCTGTGTCGTTTTCACGCGTGTTGGGAAGTGGCTTCTGGCTAGTGGGACCGTGCTGTTCTTTAACACCAATGGTTTTCAGTGTTCTCAGAAACACTGCCTGCGCCCATGACTGACATTCAGTATATATCGGAGCTATTTTGTGGAGCGGTCTGTCTTAATGCCTTGAGCACCTGTGACCGGGGGCGTGTTGTACGACCGGGGTACGTTGTACGGTTGTACGGGAGCCGGCGCAGCCAGTGGCCGTGACCCGTTCGTGACCGGCGGCGTACCCGCGTCTCTTTCAGAGCGAAGTGGAGGCACTGCGCCGGGACCTGCAGATGACGCGTCTGGCGCTCTGCAACCAGGTGGCGTACCAGTGCTCCGGCGGCCGGCACGGTGACCGGCCGGATGACGCGGTACGTCCCGCCCTCTCCCCCCCCCGCTCGGTTAACCCCCTGTGTCATCCTGTGTTTTTTATTTTTAGTCATCCTGGTGGATTTAGCCGAAATGAGTCCAGCCAAACAGTTTGTATTCGACGCGAGAGAAGATTCATGTATTGTTGCGCGCAGTGGATGACAGAGGTCACCCAGCAGCGATGTGCTTCGTGTTGTCGTCGTGGCAAGGTGCGATGAAACCCGAAGGCATTCACGGATGCGCGTATCGTCGAATTGCATGTTGCAATCGCAAAGGAAAAGTAATGCTGTTGCGGTTTGTAACGCGACACTTGTCACGTGGCAGGGAGTTTGTGTGGGGCGAACTTAAAAGCGGAATATTAATTACAAATGTTCCTATGACCCCGGAACAATGATCATTAATCCGGCATGTAGGCATGCTTTGACCCGTCACAGCCTGGAGGCGATTTCATCGCCTCTCTCCGAGAGGGACTCAACCTCTTGACTCTGTGGGACCCAACGTCTCATGAAAGCCGGCAACTCTGCCGTCGGGTCGACGAGGTCAGCCGGGCAGATGGACTCGGGCAACTTTTCCGCGCGCGCCCACGCGCCGGCGCCTTTTCACCCCCTGACACTGGCGGCGCGGGAAACCCATTAAACTTGCCGAGCAACTCGGTTGCGTTCGCCGGCTGTTTGACTTGTCTTGTTCCAGTCACCCGAGAGCTAAGCCAGCTGCGGCGTAGCCGTTTGCAGTTAGGACGAACGTCTGCCGTCCATCTGGGCTGGATGAGCAGCTGTCTGAGCCGCTGAGGTGAACTGAGGTGGACAGCTGTGTCGACAGGAACTGGTGGCGCTGGAGGAGCAGCTGCCTGTGGGCCGTCGATCTCAGCAGCTACTACTGCCCTGCCATAGGAGCTGGCGGCGTCGCCGGAGGAGCAGCTGTCTGTGGGCCGTCGATCTCAACAGCTACCGGCCTGCCCACAGGAGCTGGCGGCGGCGCTGGAGGAGCAGCTGTCGGTGGGCCGTCAGTCGTCGACGTCTGACGTGAGCTGGGAGGCGGTGGAGGAGGCGGACGCGCGACCGCAGCTCTGGGTGCCGGACTACGCAGCCGCCCGCTGCGCTGGCTGCGACAACCGAGTTCTGGCTCGGCCGTCGCCGCCACCACTGCAGGTACGGCGCGGGCGAGGCGCGGGCTGGATGGCGCGCCGCACGCGCAGCTCTGGCTGGGGGGGGGGGGGGGGGGGGTCAGGCCGCCTCCACTTCAGACGGGGTCGAGCGTGACGGTTCCGTCCGCTCCGGGCACTGTTGGGCCTATCAGAATTCATTCACTAACTGTCGACTATGGGACGGCTGGCTCGGGTCATGACAGATTGCACTAAGGTGACGGTGATAGTAATGCTGACGGGAACGCTAGTGCCCCCTGTGACTGGTGCAGAATGGTCTCTGCCAACGGCGCGCCCCAACGTACCAACAGCAACTCTGATGCCGTTCGATTTATTGTAGAGATGTTGCTCCTGGACGTGGCCTGGACTGAGTCATGCCGTAGTTTTTTGTTTGATTCACAGTTCTCCCAGTTTACCCCAGTTTTGCCATGACAGTTTTATCTGGTTGCCAGCAGTGCATCGTGAATATTTTTGTTTGTTTCCATGCAATAAAACGCAAGCGTGGTAGGTAGTTTTAAGGCTTTTGCGTCCGGTCCCACCTTGTTTTTAGAACCTTGCATTCTGCAACGAATGTCTTGTGACCTGGATCATTATATTTCGTGGGCAAAGTTGCATCACTTTACTACAAAAAGGTGAAAAGTTTTGCATTTCTGCTGATAAGTTTGTTGATAAATAAGTTCATCGTTTGGTAGCGAGCTTCCCACCCCGGTGTTTGATGTGTTTACTTAAAGCGGATGGGAGGGCCATTTACGGCAAACAAAATGATGTTTGGCGATAGCTTCAACCGCCAGGACCAAAGTGTGCTGAAAATAAGCCACCTGTGGTAGGTATTGGACCGAGCTGCACCGAACGGTGTAAGTTGCTTTTGGTGTCTCAGCCGCTTTGTTTCATTTTCGGGCACGGGTACCAGTTTCCTACGCCCGTACTCGTGACTATACTGCACGGGCTGCATTCTCCTGGTCTCTTTGAAGACCTGAACGACTTGAAAGTAAACAACGTGGCTGTCTCATCGCGTGATGGTACAACGGCCTGGTAACAGAAAATATGAACACGCAGCTCCGACATCTCCAGACTGGTAGCCAGTCACTGTCGGCTGTTCTGTTTACAACGCTATCGTCTCCGCCGTCCACAGGAACTGCGGCAACGTATACTGCGCCGACTGCTCCAAGTACGAGGCGACCATCCCGCGCGAGCAGCTGTACTCGCCGGTGCGCGTGTGCTCGCGCTGTTTCGCCCAGCTGAGCTCGTCGCGCGTCTCGCCAGACCCTGCCGTCTGCGGGCCGTGCCGCCGCGCCGAGGAGGGCGCCTCGGACGGCGCGCCGGCGCGGACCGAAAACGGCGCCTCCGGCTGAGCGGCGGGCCGCCTCGGCCGCCGCCTCGCCGCCTCGACCGCCCGCTCCTGTACAGCGCGCCACCGGCGCCCGTGTGCCGCGCGCTTGCCGTTGAGCGCGCCGTTCAGATATTTATTTTTGTAAAAGTGTCCGTGCAGCGCGGGCCGCCGCGCTTGCGTCTAGTCGTTGAGCGCGAGATGCTCCGGGCGTGGGGGAGCGGCGACCCGTGCCGTGTTCCGCGTCGGACTCCGTGCGTGCAGCGCGTGAGCCGCCGCGGCTCGCTGACTGTGACGAGGCGCCGGCGCGGGCCGGCCGCCGCCGCCGCCGCCCGCCGGCCGACCGGCGCTCAGGGACGTCCCGGGCCGGCCGCGTGCGCCGGCGCCGCCGAGGTACCGGACGCTGTGAGCGAGCCTCACGTCGGGACGGCGCGCTCGCCGACGCGAATGAGTCCGACGGGCGTCGTTTGTCGCGGCGCGGCCGAGCCGGTGACGACGCTCAGCGACCGCGCGCCGCCTGCAGCACAATCCGTCAGCGGCCAGACAGCGTCGGCCGTCCGTCCGCGCACCGGCAGCCGGCCGACGGGGCGGCGACTCCCGCGGCTCCGGCCGCCCGGCCCGCCGTGGTGTCCCCAGGCGGAGGAAGACGTGCGGCGGGTGGACCTGACCCCGACCGCAGCGGCTGAAGCTGCAATAAGTGATGCGTATGCGACTGGCAGGTGTGTCTCAGGTGGGTGGCGACGACGCCCGGTTCGGGCCAGCGGGCCGAACGAGCGCGGCTGAGTTTTGTATCGCCAAACGGTCGTCAGGTATGCAACATTCGCGCGTGCGGCACTACAGTGGAGAATCGTCTATTCGTGTAGCGTGATCGAGGTCTTTCGGAGGCGGCGGCGCCTCCCCGAGTCTATGAGAGCGGTAGGCTGGGCGTAGTGTGTGGCCGTGGCGGGGCCGGCGGAGCGCCAGTGACGTCACCGCTGGCGCAGGCCGGGCCAGCGCTGTCAACAGGGACGCTATGTGCCCCGCTTGCCGCCACCACTGGTGGCAGTGCCGAGCTTTTACACCACTGACGACGCCAGGGGCGGCGGCGCCCGGCGCTGTGCCGGCGCGGCACCACTGGGAGGCGGTGCGCCGCGAGCCGCCATCGTCACGGCGGCGTTTGCCGGCGTGACTTCGCTGCCGTGACCGAAACGGTGCGGGGCGCTGTACATCGTGACCCGGAAGGATGTGGGCCATTGCTGCGTGTCGTCTCGCCTGTGGTGGTGCCCGGTGTGCGTTGGTGCCGCCGTCTCTGGTGATCCCCGGCGTCGTGCTGCTGTCATCACCATCGCCGGTGTCCGTTTTAATGCGTGACCTGCGCCGCTGGTGCTGCTGCCCAGCGATGCGCGGATGTCACCGCGGTCGCCCGTATGGAAATAAATGTTGATCTGGTCGCCGGCAGTGTGTTCTCGCGGTGCGACCTCAGTGGCCGCGGCCGGGAAGCGAAGTGACGTGTATGGGCATTGGTAGCCGACACCGAGGTTGACTGAGGACCGCGTACCATCCGAGACGGGGAGCTGGGAAGGTAGGAGGTGAGGCTGGGATGCCGACCGCGTAAGGGACGTGGTTCAGTCGCTTGGACTTATCGGTTTTTACCGAATACGTGAAGTTACTATGATTCACATTCACATACACATTGCCAAACGAGGTGCTTAAGTATAAGTCTAGGTCACGGTTGGACGATCACAGCAGTGCTGTGTACTGTGCACACATTGGCTCTGGCGCATCCCCCGCCCCCCCGAAACATATGGCTGCTCTGTGCTTCGAGCGAGAGGTCTCCAAACACCACGTTTTTCGACTTTGAGAGTTCTTGTGCTGAATGTAGCCGACTCCGCGAAAGTAGTAAACCAGTTAAACGCGGATGTCTGACAATTGCTCGGTCACATTTTGAACACACGAGAAGTCTCTAACACTCCCCTGTCGGCCGCGGCCACGAGTAATGACCCTGTCATAATCAATAGCACTGCTATAAATGTGTGCGTTTCCATTATGTCGCAATGATTGAATGGCATTTTCGCGCAAAGTACGTCGTGTTGCGTTGGACGTCGGCTATTTTCAGCATAATAACTCATACTAATAGCTAGCCTGCCTCGTATTTTCTTCGTTGCTGCCGTGCAAGTCGATTCTGGCCGAAACGCGGTGATTACGAAGACATCAGGTCGAACGTCATGACGGCCGCTTCGCCAATGACGTAAAAGGCTCAACTCAACAGCACGCTTTGGCCATTTGAACAGCACCGGCTCATCCAGCTATGCACGGGCGTCGACCCTATACGCCTGTTAAGTGTTCCACTCATCAGATATGAGGGCGTCTGAACTATGGGCGAGTGCACCGTAATCCACCGTCGTCTCCAAAAAGGACAGAGGCCTCGCAGTTCACTGTAACCAAGAACTAGGATGACTTGCCGTCAGTTACAGAGGCAATCGATCCCGCGGGCCTGCAATTACAGAGGTCCACGCATTCCTGAAGGCAAGGAATGACATGACGCGACCATATTGTGGAAGCACGGGTCAGGCTTTCTCCCATTTCTCAGTGTCATGAGCCCAAAGGAACGTCGAGGTTTCATCTCAACTTACCGTATATCATGCAGTCATGGGTACCATGCAATGACGGAGGCGTCAGCTGTCCTCACGATACGGCGACCGAGCCTCATTCAACCAGCCATTCCTCAGCGCCGCAGGTCCCGGCGGCACTGTTAGTACTCTGCACTCCGCGGGGTGTGTGCCGGAGCCCCGGAACCTCCATACGCCGCTGGATGTGTGCTGGAGCCCCAGGGCCTCCGTACACCAGTGGGTGTGCGCTCCGGGGCTTCCTTACGGCGTCGGATGTGTGCTGGAGCCATGGGGCCTTTATACGCCGCCGGATATGTGCTGAGGCTCCGGGGCCTCCATACGCCACCAGATGTGTGCAGAAGCCCTTGGGCCTCCGTACGCCGGTGGGTGTGCGCCCCGGGGCCTCCGCAAGCCGCCAGATGTGTGCTGGAGCCCTGAGGCTTCCGCACGCCGCCGGATGTGTGCACCCCGGGGCCTCCGTACACCGCCGGATGTGTGCTGGATCCTCGAGGCCTCCGCACGCCGCTGGATGTGTGCTGGGGCCCCGGGGCCTCTGCACGCCGCCGGATGTGTGCCGAAGCCCCGGGCGGCGCGGCACACAGCCGCCGTATCGACGCCGGTCCGCGGCGGCGGAAGTGCCGGCTCGTGCCTCCGCCATCGATTGGACGGCTGGGATGCGGCGGCCCGCTGCCGGGCCGAGACGGCCTACCTCGGGCCGCGCTGCCGGGCCGCTGACGGACCATCCCGCGGGCCTTCTTCGGCTCCGGGGTCGCGAGTCCCCTTCTGTTCAGCTAATTTCCCCAGACGCGGGATGCGTCACCTCCAATCAAGGAGCTGCAAAAGTGGGTTGGTGGCTCGACGCGAGTTTTTCCATGCATTGGAACTTAAGTTTATTTTGTGCAGAAATTCAGGGAAGCTGAAGGTATCCTGGCACGCAAGTGACGTGATACTCCGGCGGAATGCATTTACAAGACACGTACAAAATATCTTACAGTTGCTGAAACACGGTATCTGAGAACACCCTTCGGAACAGGTGCTCGAAGAACCCTGGAGGCAATCAAAGATGCGTCACCCATGCCCCGCGCGCGCGCGCACACACACACACACACACACACACACACACACACACACACACACACACACACACACACACACACCACACCCACACCACAACACACAGCCACACCAACACGCACACACGCACGCACGCAACGCCGCACGCACGCCGCACGCAAGCACGCAAGCACTCAGAGATAGAGAGAGAGAAGAGAGAGAGAGAGAAGAGAGAGAGATAAGAGGAGAGAGAGAGAGAGAAGAGAGAGAAGAGAGAGAGAGAGAGACGAGCGAGAGAAGAGAGGAAGAGATGAGAGAGAGAGGAGAGAGAGAGAGAGGAGGATGGAGAAGACGAGAGGAGAGAGAGAGAGAGAGAGAGGAGGAGGAGATGAGAGAGAGAGAGAGAGAGAGGAGAGAATGCATATATAATATATTATATATATTATTATATATATGGATAGATAGTAGATAGATAGATAAATGGATCGATAGCAGATCGATAGATAAATACCACATGATTGCAGAAGAACGTACGGCCGTCAAATCATATCCAGTTCAGTACTCACTCAATTCGTATAAAGGAAAAACAAAACTAGATTAATAAGTGTTACTTGAGACGCTTCCAAAAATTTGGTCAGGCTCTCCTGTTCCCGATGTTTGCTCAGAGTCCGGCGCCTGGAGCCCACGTTGGAGTTTCCTGAAAAAGCCGACCGAACTTTTCGCAGGTCTCCGCAGCGTAGACACAATACAGCACGATTGTCAGACGACTGGCGTGGTGGCTTAAGCCTGGCTCTGCACGCTCAAACGCGACAGACGGCCACCAGGGCTCAGGCCTGGAGGTGAGCGGCCGGGGCGCCGGCGCTGCAAACACAAGGTCACGCGGCCACGAAGACCCTGCGCCGGGCCGGATTTCTCTGCACGCGAAGGCAATTGGCATGCAGCCCGGCGGCAGTAGCCCCATTGTCGGCCAGGAAATGGCATCGCAGTTTGAGCAATGCATTGGATTGTGTGCCGTTCTAACGGAGATATGCGGCCAGCAACAACTAATCTCCAATGCGTGGTGCTGGAAACCAACTGCGCAAACATGCCCCTCTCGATGTCGGACCGCCGCGCGACTGAGCCCGTTGCATGTTGTAGGCACATGGTGGACCTCCCCGCGGGCAGTGCAACCATGGGGAGGAGGGGGGGGACGGGGCGGCAAACGAATTCATGCACGTGACCTTTGGTGTGCAGTTTTATACATCAAGTCCCAAGGGCTCTTCAAAGAGTTTGTGCCATTCAAAAAGCTTGGCAGCTTGTTTTCCTAGGAAGGACAAGACATATTTGGGGATGTAAAGCAGTTTTTCAATCTCAACAAATACCAAAACAACGGAGACATGAGGTCACCATGCGACTTTTTCCTTCAGTCAGAGCAGCGCTCTCCCACAAGGCTCGCGCGTTAGCTAACACTCGCTTTGGGTCGCGCCTCGGGTCCCTGTTTGCGATGCTTTAATCTCAGAAAAGAACTCCGCACCGCCATGCTTTATGCGCAAAACGTTGCATCACGTATCCTCGCACATCTTCCCTTCCCGCGCTGACCCTCGCAGGCGCGAATCTTCGTCATGTCCAAACCTCGTGCGCCCAACTTTTC